TAAACGATAGAAGTATTAAACTCGCGATAATATTTGAACACACAAGTCTTCTGTTGCTTAACGATATCCGCATCACACAAGTCCGTGTTTCTCATTTATATAGGTTTGTCAGCCCGTATTTGTTGTATATCAATGCGTCATAAGTACTGAGTCAATCGACTTGACAAAATATTCAGAGAACGATCATCGACGGGATAACACAAGTTAAAGGTTTGACAAAGCGCACGGGTATTATGTAAAAAACCTATAAGATGTCATCTTGCAGACTAGGTAGCTTTTAGGATGCCAACTGTCATTCCACGTTTGCTCACTAGGGTCGTTGTGAGCCCGATCCAAAGCGTCCATCTATGGAGGAATGAATGAAGGATACGCCATGCTCGTCTCTTTGTATTGTTGGTTGCAGACAGCCATTCTGTTTGTATAAACACAGTTGCAATGTTTAAAATGTGAACGAAAGAAAGTTTGGTAGAGTAGCAAGACCGCATCTGGATGATTGTATTGGTCTGCATGTGTATAAAATCTGCGATATTTACTATGTGAGAAAATGATTACTGACTATGCTGCCATTGAAGTATATCTATCAGGTGTGCCAGACGGGTTATTTGTGTTGTTCTTTCTATAGAAAGGTTATGTTCAAAGTTATACATTACAATTTTTCTCGTTTTTTTTCTTTTGTGTTTTCAAAAACTTTGAGAATTACAAAATATCACCACCGCGCCCGCGTTGTGTGTAATTACGGTTAGCATGTGGGTGTATGACTTATAATTCGACAGTGTACAGTGAATATTACTATTTCTTATATCTCTCATTTTTGAAATTCAGCAAATTTGCATATGTAATTTTCAGAATGGATAAGAAAAAGTGGATGCGCAACAAATTTCTAGCCATGAATCGTATTTGAAGCAGGAATCCAATGGAATTATTATCAACACACATTATTAGCACGCAAAACCTCATTATGCCTTAGTTTAGACCTCCAGTAATGCAGATTTTACATCACATCAGAGCCAGACCACAGAGTGCTACCTGAGGCGACACTCTGTCAAAGATCAGATACAATCATCGCCAACTTGATTCTATGCGTTTGGTGGGATTCCTATTGCTGTGACATTTAGGGGTTATTCATGAAATGTTTTGACACGTGTCCACAAAACAGTTTTATCAATACAAAAATCAATTATCTCGCCTAAATGCATTTGAGGAAATAATAAACACAAATTTCTTCATTCTATAGCATGACATATGACATTCGTGACGGCAGGCTAATAACGCGTAACAACCCCTAGGAAAAAATCCTCGGGACGCCGGAAATGTGGTAAGCAGTTGGGGGGACACGAAGATCAAAGGGACCGACAGCAGGTGTCGCATCTGTATAATCTGTGGCCAAACATTGATAACTGAAGCCTCATGTCGTTTAGGCAACACGTACAACTACAAAACGAGTTCACAAAGTATCCATCAGCTAGTGCACGTTAACATCTTGTAGAAAAACCTACATAATGTCAAAAAAATCGGCATAATATCACTTTTCAAGATACGTAATACCCGTGTCGGTGGTACATTTAAGGATCATAAAATTCAGAGAAATATAATGTGTAGATCTGTAGACATAAAAATAGTTGAGTCATTTACAAACCCATAGCAGAACGCTAAAGTAATATAAAAATATTGTTAAGATATATAAATATTTTCCTGTAGCGGTATGTCAGTGACGACACCACTGCTGACCAGTTGGAGTGTGTTACCCATTGCACAGACGGCAGCGGCTTCCACGACGATGCAGAATCGCACCGTGCACCGAACGCCAAGGATTGGCAAGTTATTTCGAATTATGAGCACGTTATACATCGGACTTTTATCATTTAATTTTACTGTTGTTATCGGGAACAGAAGCCTCTTAGTCTTCGACTAATACTAAGAACGAAACATTTACAACCCTCTACCCCATCACAACCCCCAAGTCTCACCCCCTACGAAAAATGTTCCAAAAATGATCATGAGCCTCCAAAGCTTAAGCGGATTTCAATTTTTTTTTTTCGTCTTTTTGCCCCTAACTCCGCCAGCGCTAGACCGATTTCCAAAAACCACAAATTCAAGCGGTACTTCTCAAGTTATAGACGGTTATAAAATTTAGCGGACCGACCGACAGACAGACCAACGGAAATGAGTGACATGTTTTTTCGTGATGTACATGAACATGTCATTAGTATACAGGGTTATCCAAATTAAGTGTCCACCATTAGTAACTTTGTTATTAGTGAAAATACAAAGTTGTTTGAATTAGCAAACTAGTAGCATTTTTAACGCTGGTAAAAATGAGAAATAAAAAAAAAACAATTGAGAGTCGCTATTTTGATTTTTTCAGTAAAATAACATTTTTTTAAATGGAAACCCCTGTATATTATATTTTTTTCTGTTAAAGCATCAAATTTTAAACAAAAAAGCTTACAATAACTTTTCTCCTAGGTTACAAATTGTTGAAGTTATGGCCTCCAATCTGAAACAATTAAATTGTATCGACAAACTTTATTTTCAACATCAACTTATAATCTTACAAAATACAATAACAATTTTTTTTAAAGAAGATGCTCGAAAACACCACCTTGTTCTTCAATACATTTTTGGGCACGTTTTTCAACTGCTCGAACTGTCTTAAGTATGGTCCTACCATCTATCTGGGTTATCTTTTCCCTAACTGCAGTCTTTAACGCGTCAAGGTTATCGTACCTTCGCTTGTAAATTTGGTTCTTAAGTAACCCCACAAGAAGTAATCAAGTGGGTTTAGATCTGGTGATCTGGGAGGCCACTGTATTGGGCCATTTGTTCCTATCCACTGATCATTAAAAGTAGTACTTAGAAAATGATAAGTACCTCTGGAGTTGTGGGCAGGTGCGCCATCTTGCTGAAAATGCAGATGATGTCTACTTATAAGATCCAATTCGTCTAAGAAATTAGTCAGAATTTCTGACATAAATTCCACATATCTTTCACCAGTTAGGGTTCCCTCATAAAAGAACGGGCCAACAATTTTTGAACCAATTATACCGCACCAAATGTTGAAACTGAAACGGACTTGTGGGCCTCTTGGATGTACTAACAAAAGATTTTCTCTTGACCAATAATGGTGGTTTTTTCTATTAAACATTCCAGAATTTGAAAAATTTGATTCATCTGTCCATAAAAGGTAACGAAAGTTATTTACATTTTGGCGACAGAAGCTAAGATACCAATGGCAAAAAACAAGTCTTCTCTCTGGATCCCCTGCCAAAAGCGTTTGAACTGGTCGGTACTTATACGGAATAAATTTGTATTTTTTTAAAATCCTTTGAACAGTACCATAACTGAAATTAGAGTCCTTGAGAATATCTGCTATTGAATTCTCACGATAAGCTTCAAAATATCCAATAACTGCAATTTCCGTGGCCTCGCTTATTATGAATTCTTTTTTTGCCCTTGTTTTAGCAAAAACATTTTCGTTGCCCCTAAATTTTCGATAAAGTCTCAGAAAATATCGTTCATACGGTTGAATGCGAGCGGGATATAATTCACTGTAGTATTCTCTTGCTCTCAAGGAGGATTTTCTGCACACTAAATAGCATTCTAACATATCACACTTTTCTTCATGGGAGAACATTTTTCTTTAAATTAATGACACAATAAAGCTTATAAACAAGTATTTACACTAATGTTTGACATTATTTGATTTTATCATTGTTTCCCAAAGCCTTCTAGTTGCGAGTATGTCAAGTTTAACAATTTGTCGCTTATCTTAATGCTGACAAATCGCGAACGCCATGTTGTTTTCATAGCCGTCTTAATATTATAATACTGCAAATAATTAAAAATATTTATCGTTATTTTGACTTTATTTTTGACTTTAGCGGAAAAGTCATTATGAACTTTTTTGTTTAAAATTTGATGCTTTAACAGAAAAAAATATAATATACAGGGGTTTCCATTTAAAAAAATGTTATTTTACTGAAAAAAATCAAAATAACGACTCTCAATTGTTTTTTTTTATTTCTCATTTTTACCAGCGTTAAAAATGCTACTAGTTTGCTAATTCAAACAACTTTGTATTTTCACTAATAACAAAGTTACTAATGGTGGACACTTAATTTGGATAACCCTGTATAACTTTAAGTATTTTACAAGTAGGATCAACTTTTACGAAGATATTAATTTACGTGTGCTACTACTGCTTCGATAAAATAACTTTCAGGTAACAGATTGCGCTTTGTGCTTTCTTATTTTGATAGATCTGATACTCTGGATAAAGAATAGTTGCTCAACTTTCGTTTGTTGTCATACCGAAGATCAAGCTTATACCATGCTGAAGAGTTGGTAAATTGCCACGAAACCTATATTACTAGTTTAAGTCCGCGCCATCTAGCAACCACAGTGCTGACCTGGCTGACGATGCTAACTGGACAGCTTGCTATTTTCACTTGCGCAGTGGTAGATTCTAGAGACAGACGGCACTTTGTGCTGTCGTATTTCGAGAAGTTTCAGATGTTACAACTCTATTATCTAGATGTATCAGACTTCAAATAAGTGGTCGTACTGACGTCTTTGACAACCAACAATAACTTGACATAGGTATTCGTGGTTTGTTTGTTGGATCTGTCACGTCGAAGATCATAACTCTTTATTAAAAGCATCATCAGAAGCGTCATTGTGACGCTAACACTAGAAAACGATGCAGTAATATTGGCTATAATTAGATATATCATAACTAGTTCTGCACCAGGACTACTCCACGACGCTGCGGAAGTGAGTTTTAAAACTAAAACAACCTGTAGGTGGGATTGCATAGGTAGCATCATAGCGTAGTCGAAAAGACAAGCGTTAGTCTTTTCAAATTCCTATGACTTTCAATCCAAACTATTCAAGACATCTCACTACACTTTTGCATTTATTTAATATATGATTCAGAAATCTTTTAAATTTCCACAAACCTTTACATGAAAGCATTGACTTCACCTAGTATTTTGACATATCTTTTGACGTTTCACGCATGAAAATTTAACAGTCATTAATCTCAGCAAGAATCACAAAATTTTCGTATAGTGTGAAATAGAAAATGCAATGTAAGAAGAAATACCATCTAATCACATAATTTCATATATCATGGATCATACCATTCATTGGGCTACCGTAGCAAAATGCAGTCTCTGCGGAAATATTCCAGAGTGTGCACCATTATTTCAGTGTTCTTTACAACATCCTTACTGTTATGATTGTCTTGCCGATCTTAAGAAAAGATATAAAGGTATGAAATATGGTTATCTTTTAAAATAATATTTTCGGCTGGTACTTGTAGATAGAATTAAGTATAAAATTTTCCAACTTGTGAACAATTCAAAAATATTGACTACATAACAAGTTGAGTAACCTAACCCGGAATATTTGCTCAAAATAAATGCTCAAAGGAAGGAACTTCTGCAAACTACATTTTTTAACCCTAATCTCAGAGAATTTCCTAAATATCTAAATTTAAGAAATAGACATTAACAATAAGCCTAGGTCTTATAATGTCAAAGCAATTTTCTATTTTTTAGTGATAAAAGTGTTATTTGTGTATTGAGGGTGTAAAATGCTACTTTACTGCTCAAAAAATAAATTTGATGTAATGTTTTTTCTATAGTCTATAGTCTCAGCAATTTACTTTTCCTATTTGCCGAGTGCGACATTATAGCGGTACCTATCGGTTGTCGGACTGAATGATTTGTTTTTGTGGATATTAATGACTATTTCCCTCGTCTTTTCTACCAATCACAAACGCGGAATTTTGAATTACAAATGGTTTCTAGATGGAAAAATTGTATGACAGCACCGTTAGCAGTTTTTTCGAGTTCACCACGGCAAAACTTGACAAACAATGCAAAGCAATATTTTTTAACAAAAAGCATTCGTGCAGGTGCAAAAATCCTCGTCTTCGACTAGGATTTTTGTTGCCACCAACATTCGTGCTTCTTGTTAAAATATTATTTAGCAACGTGTTTATTCGATTTTTTTCCGGAAAATTTAGATGCCCTTATGATATTACTTATGAAAATAACATTTAGTGGATTCGAAGTTAGGGACTGACAACTCCATTTTGATCTGACAAATGATGACAACGCAATATTTGCAACTTCGCCAGACCTTAATTATTGACCCCACATGCCACAAATTCCGCCATTCGCTAATATTAGTCCAACCAGTGCGCGGCGATCGATTCAGTTCTCTCCACTGTGCCACATACATCATTGTATCATATTATATCTAGCAACGTGGAAATATTATTCGACCATTGCCAGTAGCGAGCGTTTTTACTACTTTTCTGCTCCAGAGCAGCAAACCTGTCATTTGCAATTGGAAAAAGTTAACTTTGCGCACCAACCTGAGAGCGATAACACATAATTTTTCGGTCACTTGTAGCGACATAAGTTTGTCATATCCATCAACTTATTCAAGTACCTAATTTCAAACATAATCCATTTGTTTTTTTAAACTAGGTAACATACATTTTTCAAATCGCTGATCCCACTGAAATATTATACAGTTGTGTTAAACTGGCCAGTAGGGTGTCCCAAAAAAGTTCTTTTTTTTCAAACGCATACCCTTTAATTTTGCTTGAGCAATGTCAAAACAATTGTAAATAAGGTTTTCTGCACCCAGAACCAGGGCAACCTGAGCCGAGTTGAGTTGGAGCATGTCATATTCAGCGCGCGCTAGCTAACGTACTCGTATTATAGTACTCGCTTGTTCTATTAGTAACGCACTGTTTTCGTTCAGTCAAAATGTCGAAGGAATAGCGCAATTTTAAAAAGGGGATATTTTTAATAAGGGACGTAAAGCATCAACTTCTCTCTAATGGGCACTTTTGTTTTATAATATCCGGGAAAGTTAAATTAAGTGTCAATGACAACGCCAACCTTACTATTCGTGAGTGCATTATTTACTGGGAAAAGGCACGTATACCAGCTAAATCTCTACCTGTGTTAAGAAACTTATACCAAGTTTGGACAGATTTGCAAAAAAATGCAAACAATAAACGAGAAGTGTTTGAGCAACGTCGACAAGAATTTGTTGAACTTGGACAATCTGTTTGATATTGCGCATGCCGATACCCTTCAATTGATGAAAATAAATGAAGATAGGATTTTTTGCATCGGCAGAAAGAGCCAGGTCGTCCTGGTCACTTAGCTGGTGTGGACAAGGAATTAGCCATAAAAGAAGAAAAGGCGCGTTTTACGACCACCGAGGAACAACCGCGGCGATCTAAATATGTTGCTTCCTTAACTCCTTCGATATCGTCTTACCAGTGCAAGAAAATTCATCTTCAGATTCCGAGATAGATTTACAAGAAACATTGCCCATCCCAACTCAGATCACACAACCTGATACTAATCAAACTCAAATAAGGAAAAGTTTCATAACTCCAAAATTAATGGCAGCATTAGATCGGTGTCAGTTAGGTATGGGAAATTGTGTTTTTATTATTGAAGTAACCATTGAGGTACTAGTACAAGTTTCCTACAAGCAAGTCCTCCATTCAAAGAATTCGTAACGAAAAGCGAAAGGAGCACAAAGAAGCTATAAAACTTGACTTCCAAAGTGAGTTACCGGATACTGTATCCACTGGGATGGCAAATTGTTGCCACCTATAAATGCTCGCAAGTCGTAAGAAGAACGTCCACCGACTACAAGCCCTGACAATTGTGGATCCCGAGAAAGTACGAGTACATATTTATACAGACAAGCTATCATGTCTGAATATTTTAGAAACTGACAAACTTGAATTGTATCGACATGAATTGACCAAAGAACTTGCTAAGGACGACTATCGAGAATTACTAGAACATTCAATAATATTCCTTGGCGGAGATACAAGCTAGATGGATATCCAGAGCAATCATTTCATTAAAACTAGCATTAGTAAGTTCCTAGCTCAAACTTTCTAATAAGGATAAGTCAACTCTGTTAGATATCTGCCAGTTCATCGTGACAACATACGTGAAACCATGGTTGCAATGTACTTTAGCGCTGAAAACACCTATCCAGGATTTATGCCTTTTAAAGACAACGGAGGCTTACGAAAGAATTGACAAAACCATTTCAAAAGCAGCTTTACAAAAGTTCTGCCAACATTTATATTTGACAGATGTGGTCTCTACCTTATCTCTGTTTGACGACGACGTAGATGAGAAAACTAAAGTAAAAATTGTTGCTAATTTAGCCAAAAAAAAGTCCACCACCACACGGTAAATGCTACATCCCATCGACAAGAACTTTCTGGCCCACTTAATGGAAAGTCTGGAGAATAAACTTTCCGTTGTCTTCGTTTAATGCTTCGATACAATATGCTAACTGTTAAAATACCTGTAAGCCAGCATAAACTACGATTCTGGCAATAGATTACACCTCATACTGCCTTGTTGTGATAGATCTTATTCCTAAGATAGGGGTTAGTTGCTATGCTTTTGTTTAGTGTTCTGATCTGAGTCCAAGCCTAGATGATGCTGACGAATTGATAAAAAGCATAAATCATCTGTCCATGGTTGACTGTCTGTGTACGGACGGACAAAAGCAATATATTTAGATGGTAGCTATTCTTCGTTCGTTTTTTCATTTCAGAGAAAAATATCGATGACTTTGATTCAATCAAAAGCAAATGCTCGTTCAGTCGACTCAAAATTGATTACAGTTTTCCCGACGAGTGTCCAACTCCATTGCCACATAATGATTCTTTTCAATATGCTGAAAATAAGGTGCAAACACTGAGAGCAGTTAACGATACGGCAGAAAGAGCAGTAAAGTTAACCCAAGACTTCTATGGCTTAAACAATTTTTATTACGTTGCATACTACAAGAACACATGCATGTATATCCTGACTGTAAAAAGAGAACTTTAAAAAGAATATTTAGTAAACAATGTTATTTTAATGATAAATATCTAAGAAATACAAGATACAGATAAAGCAGTACTATATTAAATTTGTCGAATAAGAATTAGGTTTTGAAATCCCTAAATGGTTTCCCTATTAACTTTTAAATTCAAAGTTTGACCGAAAGTCGGCTCGGGTTATTATCGTTCCCCGATTGCAATAATATTTATTCTTTGAGTTGTTAGAGTGAAATGGAAAATTTTAGAATGTATGCGGATCTCAATTTGGGAGCAATGAGGGCAAACAAACATTTGTTTGCACTCATAGGCTGGGACACCCTATTGGCCAAGCATGCACTAATATTTCCCGAAAATCAATCTCTGATAACAAACTGACCACCTTTAGGTATACGGTCAGCTTAGACTATGACATTCTAAGCGACAATGAATGTTCCCAGGAAGCTTCTGTAGAAAAAGCAAGTAAGATTGTCAATCAGGATTATTTAATATATTGCAGGCTCAATAAAAGGAGGTGCAACCTGTATCATTTGTAAACGATCAGGAGTGTTTCAACCAAGTCCAAACATAAACAATCATTTTTTAAAGAAAGTCAAAGCAAGACCTGGAATTGGAAGGCACTGCAGATACCACACCACACCCACTCCTGCTGTAAATGGTAGGTTAGTTGCTTAGTGATTTTATTTATTAGCCAACAGGAAGGACTGAAGTCGTTATTATTGTAATAAATAGGGTGATTAAAAAAACAGTCGTAATATTTCTAGAGCAAAGAAAGGAGGGTGTTCAACAGTGGCGAATCGTCCATATGACCATTGTTACCATTGGTAACAGTTTAAAATCTTAAAATAAGTATTTTATGACTAAGTACTGTGAAATAATTTCATTTATTTGTTTACCAACAGCGGTATGTAATAGTAATTCAGTAAATAGCAAATTAGCCCCACAAAAATAATGCGCCCTATAGTGTCTAGGTTTTGGGAACATGATGAAGCTGAGTCACCTCGACTTGGTTGTCGGTTCGGTTGTTACCATTTTCATTTATGGATACACTTGGTAGTCCGTCGGGGACCGTCGGTGGCGGCTCGTGTCTGATCGCGATCGCCCGAGTGCGTGGGGCGCTGCGACTATTATCTGGGCTTGTTACCATTTTTTGATTTGGTTACTCACTTCTCACTCGTTAGTAGCCGTTTTGATTACTGGCTGTAGTGTGCGTGCAATTAAACATGGATGAGTGTCGCTGCGTAATCGATCAACTACTTGAAAAGTCATTCTCCTTGTATAATTTTTAAGAAAAAAAAAAGGATATTATTGAAAATGGAAGACCAACACCTACTTTAGATGATTTTAAAAAGGAATAACAAAACGTACTTTGATATTTTAAATTAAGTTGGTATATGGAAACTCTTGGTTATTTGGTTGCAAAAAAACAGATTGTATTGTTGGCGATGTCTTCTGTTCTATACAGAAAAAAATGGGTGGACCAGCAGCGGAGTCAACGATTGAAATAGAAAAAGAGGAGACATGAAATTTCTCCGTTACATGTGAGATGTGTAGCTAATTTAATTCAGTTTGGCAAAACAAGAATCGAAAGTTGTCTTTAACAAGTTTTTATTCAGCACACTTCTAGATACCGTATGTTTTTTGGCAAAACAGGAATTACCGTTCATTTTGAAGGGGATGACTCTGACAATAGAGGAAATTACAGGGAATTGTTAACATTCATTGCCAAAAAAGATCAGAAACTTTCCGGACATCTAGAAACGTCGACTGTTGTTTCGGACGGCTTGGATTAGTCATAGCATAAAACGATTAGGTATATCAAATGCCCCAGACGCTGAGTCCAGGAATGTTTACCTCATTTTGAAAATAGTTTAAATAAAATACATAAAATAAGCAAAAAATCGTATTTGGGAGGTTCAAAATAAACTTTTTTTAATAAGATTTTTCACATCTGGTTTTGGTAACAGTCTAGGAAAAGTCACGCGTCGCCACTGGTATTCAAACCTTACTAAAATCAGTCCCCGGTGAATATTATTCAAACCTTGGGAATAAGCTTTCCAGAGCATCATGATCAAAAGTTTTCATGGGCTCTTAACAATCCTTTGAACCGTTTCCATGATATACAGGCCCCCAAGCATGCGAGAATGAAGTATTGCTCCTAAATAAAAATATATCAAAACTATCAGTCGGTTATCATACATGGTATCCGACGGCACATTTCTAAAATACCACAAATTATACAAAATTTCGCCCCACATCAAAAATATTATTTTTTTAATGGAAGGCTGTACATTTGCTTACACACTCGGATATGCCTTTTTAAGCGAAGAAGATTAATAAAACCTACTTATGGGTATTGATAATTAGTTATTGGGCTAGTGGGTGTTTTATCTAAAAAGACGCCAAAGTGTGACAACCTGAATACACTTATGCAACCTTTCAAAACAGCAGATATGCAGGTTGTCAAATGTTTTTTTTTTAGACAAAATACCCAGTAGCCCAATAACTATTCATTAAAACCCGTACGTAGGTTATATCAATCTTCGTCTCTTAAGGGGACACACCATGTATAATAACCCATAAATAGGTTTCTTTGACACTTTTTTTATGAGCAATAACCCATTCTTGCATGTTGGGACACCCTGTATATCACGGAAACGCTTCATAGAATTGTTAGGAGCAAATAGGAACTTTTGATCAGGATGCTCTAAAGAGCTTATTCTCAAAGTTTGAGTAGGATTCATCGGAGGCTGATTTCCGCATTGTTTGTGCCCCCTCCTTTGGAGTTTGAATAGGCTATAAACAAACTATTGGACTTATTTTAAATTTTATGCTATTGGTGGAATGATTGAATCTTGATACATTGACATTTAAAACTGGCCTAACAGTACTTGATCCAATTTTCTATTATTTTTCTGACTCTTTGGACGAAAATTCCTTCTCCAATTGCATGTTTCAAGCCCTGAATGGTTTATGGATAGCATAACATTATCTTCAGTTGCACTCTCGACAGAATATAGTCCAACGGGTTCAAATCGCGGCTGTGATGCAGCCAACTCGCAACAGAATTTATACTGATTATTCGGATTCCGAAAAAGGTGCCCAAAGTTCGATTGTTATGTTGTTGGTGCGGCAAGTTGCGTCGACCTTTTGAAGACAAATGTCATCCATGCGACCCTCTTCAACCAAAATCGAAAACTATACATTCGTGCAAAAATCCAATCTGTCGTCTATAAGAAAAAATGAAGTGGAAGGACAAGAGCAGAAATGTCATATTTAAATTCTAATTTGCCTTCTTGTAGAGAAGAAAACGTGGAAATGTTAATGTGCACTTTATTTTGAAATCCCACCACAAATAAAGTTGTGAAAAAATTAAAACGATTTTGGGAAAATCGTTTTTTTTTCTATGTCGGGAAGTACTTTGAATTTCGAAAGCCGCAGGTTGTTATAACATAAATAGCTAAAAGTTTCCGAGATCCCAGTGGTGAGGGTCGAATTTGAAATACCCCGTATACATCTGCAATGCTTTTACTTCCTATGCCACTGGGAATATATATTAGTCGCGAAAATTTTTGAAAATGGGATATATTTTTGGATGTTTTATGACATGTTCACGAAAAACTCATTTCAATCGGTCTGTCCGTCTGTCAGACTCTCCGGAAATTTTAGGAGTAAAAGATTATAAATTAGAAAGAGGGGTTTGTAACGGAGTAGGGGCGGGTCTATATCATTTTTTGGTGATATTATGTTTATGCGCACCTTCATAGGTGTGGTTGTCATTAGAACCATAATGATAGAAAAATATATTCCTTCTGCTCTCTGGGCTCACGCAAGTATCCGTCTGACGCGTCTGACGAGATGGGAAGAGACAACGTTGCCAGTTGGATGGTAACTACCGGTAAGATAAGGAAAGAATGTCTATGGACTTATGTGCCTGTTTGACTCACTTGGCTCATTTAATTCCTCTATTGTAAATGTTCGTAACTAATTTGTTACTCAGAGGGTTTGACTTGCGCAGAACTTAAGCCTTTATAAACTAATGGCGGCATTGCTTAGGAAGTGCAGAGTCAACTTACTTGACGCAATTTTTTTGTAATGATCTTCAAATTCCATCAGGTAATTGTTACGTGGAGAGAGCAAGAGAGAAGAACACACATACAAACGAAGAAAGAAACAAAGCAGTATCAGTCCGAAAGCCTCTTCCATTTACCCCCTGAACAAATATCTAAGCTGATCTTCAAAAACGGATACGGAACGGGCAAAGGGCAGGAAGCAGTCAGTGAGCTTAGCAAACGCCTGGTGTTGACGCACAGCCTACATTCAGTCAAGTCGACGCAAATACGGGCGCCCATAGGATGTCCCCATAAACCATGCGGCAAGATGGTTAGTACTGTAAAGGTACAGATTTGTAACGGTTACCACAGATCGTTATTTTAAAGATCGCTTTACATACAGAGTGTCCCAAATCCAACATAAAGCCGGACACGGGTGATAGGCCATGTCATAATATACTAAGTGACATATAAATCCGAACACCCAGTTTAAATGGTTTTATTTTAATAAAATTTTGTATAAGTACTTAATGAAGCATAATAAGTAAATGATAAAATTTCAAATGATTGCACTGCTTTTAAAGCCCTTTGACCTTTAATAATGTGTGGATGCACCTGATGTGCTACGCATTCTCCAACGCGCCTAGGCATGCTTCTGATCAGGTGGTCAATGTCCTCCTGTAGTATCTCATTCCAGGCAACCACCAACTCCTCTCGAAGTGCTTCTAGAGTCTGAGGAGGACGTTTCAAATTGAGCAATCTCCTACCCATCATATCCCACACGTGCTCAATTGGGGATAAGTCGGGAGATCTTGGTGGCCATGGTAACAATGTGACATCATTATGTTGAAATAAGTCTATTGTGACTCTTGCAACATGTGGTCGGGCATTATCTTGTTGGATAGTTGGATCTGCCAGGGTGTCAGGATAGGGTAAAAGATGGGGTTCTAGAACTTCGTGGATATAACGCTGAGCGTTCATGTTACCTCTGATGAAGATTAAGGTGACCTGGAACCATAAGCTATAGCACCCCAAACCATAACTCCAACAGTGTGATGAACATGTCTTTGAACAAAAAACTGTGGATTCCTCCTTTCACCACGACGCCTTCTAACCCTTACACCGACGTAATCGCCTTGAGTGGTGCAGACAACGGTCACTCTGGGATCAGGAATGGAACAGTATTGTCTTTAGTGACGAGTCTCGATTTTGTTTAGGCATGCACGATGGTCGTGCCAGGGTTAGAAGGCGACGTGGTGAAGGAGGAATCCACAGTTTTTTGTTGAAAGACATGTTCATCACACTGTTGGAGTTATGGTTTGGGGTGCTATAGCTTATGGTTCCAGGTCACCTTTAATCTTCATCAAAGGTAACATGAAACCCGCAGCGTTATATCCACGAAGTTCTAGAACCCCATTTGTTACCCTATCTTGACACCCTGGCAGATCCAACTTTCCAACAAGATAATGCCCGACCACATATTGCAAGAGTCACAATAGACTTCTTTCAACATAATGATGTCACGTTGTTATCATGACCACCAAGATCTCCCGACTTATCCCCAATTGAGCACGTGTAGGATATGATGGGTAGGAGATTGCTCAATTTGCAACGTCCTCCTCAGACTCTAGAAGCACTTCGAGAGGAGTTGGTGGTTGCCTGGAATGAGATACCACAGGAGGACATTGACCACCTGATCAGAAGCATGCCTAGGCGCGTTGGAGAATGCGTAGCAAATCAGGTGCATCCACACATTATTAAAGGTCAAAGGGCTTTAAAGCAGTGCAATCATTTGAATTTTTTATCATTTACTTATTATGCTTCATTAAGTACTTATACAAAAATTTTATTAAAATTAATCTTGACACCTGTCAGATCCAACTTTCCAACAAGATAATGCCCGACCACATGTTGCAAGAGTCACAATAGACTCCTTTCAACATAATGATGTCACATTGTTACCAATGGCCACCAAGATCTCCCGACTTATCCACAATTGAGCACGTGTGGGATATGATGGGTAGGAGATTGCTCAATTTGCAACGTCCTCCTCAGACTCTAGAAGCACTTCGAGAGGAGTTGGAGGTTGCCTGGAATGAGATACCACAGGAGGACATTGACCACCTGATCAGAAGCATGCCTAGGCGCGTTGGAGAATGCGTAGCACATCAGGGTGCATCCACACATTATTAAAGGTCAAAGGGCTTTAAAGCAGTGCAATCATTTTGAAATTTTTATCATTTACTTATTATGCTTCATTAAGTACTTATACAAAACTTTATTAAAATAAAACCATTTAAACTGGGTGTTCGGATTTATATGTCACTTAGTATAGTTATCAGGAAATTATAAAAAAGATCTAAGTTGTGTACTTTTCAAATTATAAGCTATAAAATACCGAAAATATCTTTTTTATTTCCCATTACTACAAATTTCAGTTTTTTCTGCGTAGTGACAGCAAGACAAATAGTAACGCCGCCGTTATTAATTCATGATTGCATAGTTCCAACATTTCTCTGTACACCATACAGGAATACGCAACATTTTTTTCATTAAAACCAATAATTTGAAAAAACCGACTTATTATATATACAATATTCGATTTTTTTTTATTTTTCTGGTAGCTACTATGACTTAGCCTTGAAGTCGACTTCTGGGACACCTGTATGAGCCATGCCCGGAGACAAGTTTTCATACAAACACAGCAACTCACATTTTCCTATAATTATTATACTGTGAAATGAAAAATGTTCTCGCAACCCTTAACATTATTATGTTATGTCATAGCATCTGGCGATCTGGGAAAATAGAAACGTTCGATCGTCTGTCTGAGCGTAACTAAGAGCGAAAACAACTTTGTCTCATACCTATTAAAATGTAACTTATACTTATGTCCCAATATTATTACACTTTATTCTAACATGATACTACGTGGAAATGCTTAGTTCCAAGGTGTTTTTAGAAAATATTTACCTTTCGAGTCATCCCGTTTGGAAACTCGATAGATAATTTGAATAAACTGTACTTTTTTCAGAAAAGTATTTACTCAAATAAGTACAAGCATACTCGATCAGCATTTCTATAAAATATAGTAAGTGCCACATAGATAGTTAAGATATTGATGTAGGGCATTCGTACGAGTGGTCTGATCTTTTTAGAAAAGCATTAAGTACTTCTTCAAATATTTTCTCTGATTTGATCTAAGTCATATCATTTTCATCATGCTACGAATGTTTTGAAAATGATTGTTTTCATATTCATGTTAAAATATACTTATACCGTGATGTTCGTACCTCGGAACTCTTCAACCTACAAAATAATGATAGAAACATAAATTTCAGTTATTTTTTCTCTAGTTTAATTTACTAAAATATTTCCATGGAAATCTATAAAGTTCTCCTATAATTTGTTTATAAGGTGAACTTAATGCGCAAATTAAGGGTTTTCCATTAAGGACTTGACAACTTTCTTTTTAAATGAAACGAAAACCATTTGGGATATCTCGAAAATTTTATTATTGGATGGAATGAAGTATACTCAAAACATTTATGTATGGAATTCGACCTCGCTCATATGTCCACCACGGGCACGTTCGTAACGATCGATTCGTTAAAACCAATTTTCAATAACTCGCCCACACATTTCGACAGAAGCGGCCGCTATCTCTCGTTCAATATTGGCTATGAGCTCCTATAACGACGCCGGCTTGTTGGTATAGAAAAGTGATTCAATTCAGCCCCGCAAAAAAGTCTAGAGGTGTTAAATCACACGATCTAGGCGGCTATTCGACAGGACCATTCCTTAATATAACACGTTCACCGAATTTTGATTTCAATGTGTCGATTGTTTCACCGCTGTGTGCCTTGTGGCACCGTCTTGTTGAAACCACGTATCATTGATGTCTAGCCCATCCAATTGACCAAAACAACAACTTTGCAACATGTCTCTGTAGTGATCTCCGTTGACTGTAACGTGACGGTCATTTTCATTAACTAAAAAAACAGCCCAATGACACTACCCGCATGAAAACCACATCATGCAGTTATTTTTCGTGGATGAAGTGCTGTTTCTTGACGCACATGAGGGGTTTCACCTGATCATAATGCATACCTAATTCTGTTTGTTGACGAAGCCGTTTTACCAAAAATGGGCCTCATCGCTGAAGATGATTTTGCGATGAAATTGGTCATTTTTTTGCAACATTTCTAGAGACCAATTCGAGAACGTACGTTGGTTCATATGATCGAACGGCTTTCGTTCTTGAGTTAACTTGATCTTATAAGGGTGCAGGCCAATATCTCTTCGCTACATTCGCCTTACGTCAGAGCGACGCCCAATTCTTAGGAAACGCCGTGGAATCGACGTGATCTATCTGTTTGCGACAGAAGCTTGAACGGCAGCATATTTCCGGCACTTCGACCAACTCGCACGGGTATCTATTACGTATGTATCCTGCAAAGTGACATTATGTCGATTTTTTGACGTTGTTTTGGTTTTTGTGACATTATGTAGGTTTTTCTACACGATGTTAACTTAGCACTTAGTTGTACGTGTTGCCCTAAACGTCACGAGGCTTGTTGTCAATGTTTGGCTCGATGTGATGTGAAATCTGCTTCAGGTCTAAGCTGAGGCATAGTGAGGTTTTGTGTGCTAATAATGTGTGTTGATGATAATTCCATTGGATTCTCTATACACTTACTTGAGATCATGACTAAACATTTGTTGCGCATCCACTTTTTCTTATCGATTAGATTTACACAATTTGCTGAATTTAGAAAATGAGAGAGATAAGAAATAATTATATTTACTGTAAACTGTCGAATTACAAGCCATATACATGCTGACAGTAATTACACACAACGCAGGCGCGGTATAAATTTGCCGTATAAATAACTCGTCATATTCAGCATATTCAGTAATGATTTTCTCACACAGCAAAGATCACTGATTTTATACACATGCAGACCAATACACATAATCATCCCGATGCAATCTTGCTATTCATCCAACTTCTTATCAGAGATGAAAACTACAGATCACTCGGCTTCACAACACATATGCAACCAACAATGCTTGTAGTTTAGTTGAGTAATTCCTCCATAGATCGACACTCACAACGATGCTAGTGAGCAAACGTTTATAGGTTTTACTAGACTATGAACTGCTTTTCTACTGTGACGATAATTACGACCAAAAATTGGTATTAATGCTCTTAAAGTTGCAGTCACCGACTCGGAATTTCGGTAGCAAATTTTAATTATTTATAAGCGTTGTTCGTTCGTATGATGAAAATGTTTTCTTTTTCTGAATGTTTTGACATTGACAGTTCGA